GGGTTTGAGGGGTTCTTTCCCCCCCCCTCCCCGAAACCCCCTCCCCATTTTCTACGGTGTATCGTGACGGGCGTGTCGTGGGTGTTGCCGAGACCTTTTTATCGTTCCCGAGGCTCCGCGAGTTTTTTTGGGGTGAAAATGGGGAAATTTGGGGGGTGGGGTGTCAGTTTTGGGGGAGTAACTCCAATTTTGGGGGGTCAAATTTGAGGGTCCCGTCGTGGGCCAAGAGGGGTTCAGAATTTGGAGAGATGGTGGGAATTGGGGTCAGATTTTTGGGGGGGGTTTACAAGAGTTGGGAGGGCTCGGTCTTGGGGTCTGATTTTTGGGGGGGGGTTCACACAATTTTGGGAGGGGGTTAAAATTTCGGAGTTCATATTTGGGAGGCTTCGGATTTGGGGATTCTCAGGATTTGGGGAGAGGGAGGCCCGGGATTCCCAAAATACACAAACACACACCCAAGCACGGACCCCAAAATTCCTGAGGGGAGCAAACAAAGACGGAACAACCCAAAACACTTTTCTCGCCATTTTTTCCCTTTTTTACTCACATTTCCCACCCTTTTCCCTTCAAGTTTCCCACTTTTCCTCTCACATTTCCCTTCATTTTCGGCCTCACGTTGCCTCCCTTTTTCCCCCGCTTTTACACCCGTTTTCCCTCCCATTTCCCATCTTTTTCCCTTCTTTTTTTTTCCCTTTCCTCCCTTTCTGTTTCATACCTTTTTCTCCTCTCGTTTCCCGTCCTTTTCGCTCAGTTTTACCGTCCTTTTCGCCTTCCATTTCCTGCCTTTTCCCCCCCTCACGCTCCCCGCCATCTTGTCCCCTCACGTTTTCCCGCCCTTTTTCCTCCCCTCACGTTTTCCCGCCCTTTTTCTCCCCTCCCGTTTTCCCGCCCTTCTCATATTTCCCACTCAAAATTCTCACTTTTCCCCCCAAAATCTCCCTGCAGTTTAACATAAATTGCCTCCAAAACGACGCACTTTGCTCGGACCCGTGTGGTGCAGCCGTTTTCTACAGTCAATTAAAGCAGGTCACTCTCTTTAAAAACCCAATATAGGTCTAAGTAATACATACAAAATATATTTTTAATACATGTAATTTATACTTATAATATATATGACGTTCGTTTATATTTACATATATAAAATATATACATAAGGGAATGAACTTTTTAGAGCTGTAGTTGGTACTAAAAACCTGTTTGATCCAGCCACGCCGAATCATCTCCAAGCGTTTTGAGCCCTCAGGATTCTCCTCTCTGGCCCTCAATATTTCAAATTCTGAGACTGAATCATCTCCAAGCGTTTTAGACAGTTTGAGCCCTCAGGATTCTCCTCTCTGGCCCTCAATATTTCAAATTCTGTGACAAAAGCAAAGCCCAAATGAGCCCCGGGGACGACGAGAACGGGGGGGATTCGCCCCACCACCAAAGCTCTGACCTTTCTGGCGACAGGTGAGCTCCAAGCGGGCACATCCAGAGCCATAAAACGGCGTTTTCCGTCTAAAACGGCGTGAAAAACATCCCAGCAGCTTCCCCAGGCCTGGGGGGGGGGGTCTCTCCACCTTTCATTTTGAGTCTGGGGGAGGCACGAGGAGGCCTGAGGGGGGGCGGGCAGCTCCGCCATTTTGGGGCGGGCCAGGAGCCCGGGGTTAATCCCGACCGCGCCTCAGGTGGAGGTTTGGGAATCCCAAAAAGGGAAAGGAGTTTTGGGAATCACCTCGGGAAAGCAGGGCGGGCTTTCCACAGCCGAGGGTCCGGCGGTGCCGGCGTCCCCCGTCGCGGCTCAGCGGCACCGGCGGCACAGCCCGCGCAGGAACCCCCCCGATGGCCGCCGCCGCCGCCTCAGGGAGTCGAGAAGCAAAGCGGTCTGAGCCGCCAGGCAGCGGATGGAGGCGTCCCTGTCCAGTGTCTTCATCCGGTCCAGGTCTCCAGGAGGAACAGAGAGAGCCCGCATGAGACCCCCCAGAAACCCCGCAGAGACCCCCCAGAAACCTCTGAGACACCCCCAGAAACCCCTCAGAAACCCGAGACCCCCCAGAGACCCCTCACAGACTCCTCAGAGACTGCTCTGAGACCCCTCAGAGATCCCTCAGACCCAGAGACCCCTCAGAGACCCCTCAGAGACCTCTCAGAGACCCCTGAGACCCCTCAGAAACCTCTCAGAGACCCCCCAGAAACCAGTGAGACCCCTCAGAGACCGCCCAGAAACCCTCAGAGACCCCTCAGAGATCCCTGAGACCCCTCGGAGACCCCCCAGAAACTCCTCAGAGACTCCTCAGAAACCGCTCAGAGACCCCTGAGACCCCTCAGAGACCCCTCAGAGACCCCTGAGGCCACTCAGAGACCCCTCAGAGATCCCAGAAACCCCTCAGAGACCCCTCAGAAACCCCCAGAAACTCCTCAGAGACTCCTCAGAAACTGCTCTGAGACCCCCTCAGAGATCCCTCAGACCCCTGAGACCCCTCAGAGACCCCTGAGACCCCCAGAAACTCCTCAGAGACTCCTCAGAAACCGCTCAGAGACCCCCGAGACCCCTCAGAGACCTTTGAGACCCGAGACCCCTCACAGACCTCAGAGACCCCTCAAAGACCCCCTCATAGACCCCAGAGACCCCTCTGAGACCCCCGAGACCCCTCAGAGACCCGGAGACCCCCAGAAACTCCTCAGAGACTCCTCAGAAACCGCTCAGAGACCCCTCAGAGACCCCTCAGAGACCCCTCAGAGACC